CGTCGGAGTGAGGAGGAACGAGAGGAGAAAGAGACTAACACTGATGAATTGCGGCTAATATTAGGATTTGGGATAAGTTCGCGGTGTTGGGATGATTTCCTTGTCTTGTATATTTCCTTGAAGATTCTGCCCGTGTTACCGCTGTACAGTATCACAAAATGTAACTGGTTTTGCATTGGACTGTGTTTTATTTGCACAACAGATCAATTCTAATATCAGGTAAGTAGTGGCAAAGCTGTCGACAGCTCTTTCATCTGAGGTTGCTTAGGATCATATTGATACGAATTTTGATTTCCTGCCATGTACCGATTCCAATTTTACCATCGAAACGAATAAAAGAACTGTGGAAAATTTCCACTGGCAAAATAAGACGAATGGTTTTAAACATGATAACAGTACTGCACATCAGCCTAAGCTTGTGAGCAACAAATTTACTAAGAGCGATAATTTATTTCTATACTTGAATCCGTATTGATTTATGCATAGAATGGTAGTGGAGCTTACAGTACGGTTTTCAGAACAACTGGGCTAACATAACGAATCCATCCGATATTGATTTCAGCAATTTTGCGAATATATCGCTCGAAAACTATATTTGGGATGTCGGACGTCGGAGTAAAGTAAACCAAAAATTTGTCAACTTCACGTTAAAAATACTCCAGATGGCTCTCTGTATTCTGCAAATAGACCGAAATAATTTTTTCTTTTCATTAATTATATCTGTTTGACGTAGATGAAAAAAGACATGTACGTTACAGAAAAAGTGAAAAAGCGAGAAAGTAAAAAAATGTAAGAGCGCAACACTCACTTTTTCATGGATGGTAAAAAAGAAAAGTGAAAAAACAAAAAAGCGAAAAAATGAAAAAGTGCATTTACAGATAATCATGATACCAGAATACATCTATAGTACACACGTGCATGAAGTGTTGAAGACAGAGGAAAAACTCGGAATTGTTAGAAATCTAAAAGCCGAGATAGCTCTTGTTTTTCATCTAAGGTTAATTTTGTTTGTACTGTTGGGAAACATGCCATAAATTCATAGCATCCTATTGATTAGATGACCGAAGCATAAGTTACAGTAGCAGATAAAAGACAGATAATTCCTATATTTTTTTTCGGCCATGATCGGTAACTTCAAATTCTTGCTAGAAATTATGGTTTTTGCTAACTTTCTCACTTCCCGAGAGCCTCAGCACTT